TGAGTAACTTGAGATTTTTTGTTAACTTAGTATACGTCTCAGGATAATTATACTGAACCGTTTATTACAAAAATGTATATCAAAAAAATAACTTTGTTTATTTAAAGTTGAAATAACGAACCAAACTAAATAAAAAAAAAATACAACACAAAACAAACTACAATTAAAAACATTCAAAAAAATTCTAGTACAATATTAAGTTTCACACAGTATTCATTTTGTTTATGGTACCCAACAATTTGTGACACGCGATCATTTATGAACGTCACGCGGTTGTCTCGCGACCTCGAATTGCCAGACAGTTTAAAAATGTGAAATTTGATTTAAAAATCCAGTTAATTTAAAATTCTCGCTCATGAAAATGTTAATGTTAATGAGAAAAGTTTTCAAACTATTAATTCACCTTTCTATTTCTATTGGGCTAAAGTATCCCATTTTTAATTATTTTTATACCTAAATCAGAATTATCTCGAAAAACGATTTAAACTGGCGTAATTTGAATAAAAATCATAATTTATAATATTTTATTTGTCTCTTTGTCTAACCATTCAACGTTGCTACCATCCGTACCATGCTGGGTGACTTGTATGCCTGGCTTATACTGAGTGGGTGACGCTTTTAGCATAGGCATGTTGTCAGCGTCTCTCTTCTAATTCTTCTGTTTTAATTTTTTTTTTTTATGTTTCTATTACTTCCACTGTCACACATTTATTGTCTTTTTTTTTTTTTATTTATGCTGCATCGTGCCTGGTGCTTAATAAATGATTTTTCTTTTTTTTCTTTCTAATCTTGTTTTATTAGACACTATTGTTCACTTTATAACTTTTTTGGACACATTACAGCCATGACAGTTTTTACTCTATTACTTTCAATTATAGTATTGGCAACAACCTAAACTAACCAATACTAGTGATGTAACCATTAGTATGTTATTTTAATTGTTACAAAAACAACATTTGACAAAACCTAATTTGTCTAAGTGTCGTGGAGGCCCGGAGGTTTAAGCCCGCTTCTGATGCATGAGGGTTCGAAACCTACCAACGGCAAGTACCAATGTGACTTTTCCCGAGCTATATGTAGAAACTACTCTGTCTGTAATAATAAGCAAACCTGTCTATCTTTTTTACAATATGGTAAACAAAGTCACGAAGAAAAGCATTTTTTTCTACACTTTTAATGCAAAAATAACGCTATTTATAGCCTTTGCAATTAAGTCTACAATCGCATGTCGATAGCTAATTAAAAACGGGTTCAATAAATAATATAAAACCTTTTTCTTTAAGGTGCTCACTCACCGGGAGCATTCGCGTGTAAGGTAACGTTACAGATATGAGCATTAGAGGTACATCAGTGAAGGAGGAAAAAAAACTGTGGAATGATCTGTCGTCGGCGGTATTTCCGAACCGATACGACCTTCAAACCTTCAAGAGAAGAGCGTACTCCTTTTTAAAGGGCCAGCAACGCACCTGTGACTCTTCTGGTGTTGCGGGTGTCCATGGGCGGCGCTGATTGCTTACCATCAGGTGATCCGTCTGCTCGTTTGCCTCCTATTCCATAAAAAAAAAAAAAGGAGGAGAACCGAGCATTACAATGCTCACCTTGTAATGATACAATGTGTAATATCTTTTTTTTACTTGTAACATCATTGCGCTCCACTTCATAATTATTTATTCATTTTTTTTTCAATATGTTACTTTACACGCGAATGCTCGTTAGACGGAGGTTTTTTTTTAAGGGAGGAAACTCATCGAATGACTGCTCCCGCCTGGGTGAGGCGGGAGGGAGTGTCAGACTCTTACTGACTAAAAACCACCCCGTTCCTTCTCCTGCACGTCGAGCCGGAGCCCCGGTTACCCGTTAGGTTCTCCGCGACTCCGAATCGGCATCGACCCTGTTGGGCCCCATCTGTGGTGGTCTGATGGCTCTTTGAGGCGCGCGCGGAACGCGACGCGCCGTACGCTCGGGTAGACGGAGATATTATTGTAATATAATGCTCAAAATCGAAACAATAATGTTACATTATACATGAATGCTTGAATGAATGAATCGACTGCATGGTTGGCGCGGTGGTTGGGCAACTGGGTTCGATTCCCGCACGGAACAACTCTTTGTGTGATCCACAGATTGTTGTTTCGGGTTTGGGTGTCATGTGTATGTGAACTTGTATGTTTGTAAACGCACCCACGATACAGGAGATAAACTTAGAGTAGGGTAAGCTTCGGCCGATGCCGATTCGGAGTCGCGGAAAACCTAACGGGTAACCGGGGTCCGACTCGACGTGCAGGAGAAGGAACGGGGTGGTTTTTAGTCAGTAAGAGTCTGACACTCCCTCCCGCCTCACCCAGGCGGGAGCAGTCATTCGATGATTTTCCCCCCTTAAAAAAAAAAAATTGTGGGGCAAGCTTTAAAAAAAATGCTCCCGGTGAGTGAGCACCTTTACATTACTAAAGATGAATGACCTGCGTCACGATACACATTGCATTCTGTAAAAGTGAACCATTTTTCATTGTTTCATGATGTTATTTCAACTTGTTATTGTATGTTTGTTATTTGTAGCCGACTCGATCGATACCTATTTTATTATAGAGGTATATTGGTCATTTTAGTTTTAACTTTTCTTTCAGTTATATTTCTTTGTATTAATTGCGTGTAACATTTACATTGTTTTTTTTTTATAGCATAAGCTGGTAAACGACCAGATGGAATACCTGATGGTAAGCAATCGGCGCCGCCCATGGACACCCAAACCCTTATTTGAGACCATTAACTACCCCTGTTTCAAATTTCATTCCGAGCCTTTATGCCGTTTGAAGTGAAAGAGTAAATTTTTTGAAAATTATCCATTAACAATACAGACAATGGAATAGGCTCTTTTTTATATTTGATGGGCCGACGTTTGACCACTGTCTCACCTGGTGGTAAGAAATTATGCGGTCGGTCGTCCCATGAGCAACCTATTCACTTGGGCCTTGAAGACACCCACCTATATTTTTTTTTGTATTTGATGGACGGACCAGGCGAGATAGTGGTATTCGACTACTATCTCGTCTGGTAAGCGATGATGCGGTCTACAATGGAGCCCGAAATACAGACTAATAACCTAACTAAAGAGAAATGAGTGTACATTTTATCATTATATCAACAGCTCTGCCTGTCGCTTTAAAGATCAAAAAAACATAATCCTATGTTCATACACTTCCAAGTTCGTGAGCAAAGCGATATAAAACAGAATTATTCACGAGTCACGTGTCACCGCCATCTTGTTTTAAATTTAACGGCTGCACTGTTCCAAGATTAATGCAGACGTTTATACAGCACTGTTTCTGACGACATTTGTCATACGATTTCTGCATTGTGAATTATGGAAGCAAGTTTTATTGTAGTACTAGATTCTGGCAGCTTTGGCCTCATTTCCGTGTTATAAGGAGTTTTCCTATGTGTTTTTTTGCTTAGTCATCTGCCACTTTCATCTCTGCACCACCTTAAGGTCGGCTGTGAGACAATGCCCAAGGCAATTAAGTCCACCTGTACATTTATTACTGTACTGTTTGTGCACTTTGGTTGATATCGGCTCACTGCCTAACTCGCCGCACGCGCGTCCGTCCAGCTTCGTGGCTCCAAGCAAAGTGAGTGAGGGAGGGGGTATGCCCCGCTCCCCCACTATACTATAGCGCGCGGCGTGTACGCATGAGACGACAGAACCATATAATTCTA